TGATTTGATAAAAGTGGTTTGATTAAATTGGTGTGACCTTACATTTGGTTTACACAATGATTATATGCATACATACATACATTTCCCTTATTCTGTTTTTCAATCAATCAACAACGGGAAGCTTGCAAAGGTAGGGTATCCATCAAACAATTCAATCAAACTAAAAATTTTATTAATAATACTACTTGTCAATCATTCTAAAGAATTTTTTCAAATTTTACGTAAAATAACAGAAGACTTGAAGATCGTTAACAGTGACATAGCAGTATCTCAACCCTCCATTTTTATTATGTCAACATGAGATCCCCATACTTGACTGTTTAGGCAACCTTCCATGACTGTCATGTGGAAATAGTTGTCTGTGTTCTTTTGTTGTGGGTAAAGGTATTTACTTCCTCTTGCACAAAGCCCTACAGGTAAACCTACCGCAAACATGAAAACTTTTTTTTACAAAATTTAAAACCCACACTGACAATCTGCATCAAAACCATGAAACCTTTCTGTGATTCCATATAGTATAATATGTGTGGTTATAAGACTAAATCCATAAGCGAAAGCCATAAAGTGCAGATTTTCATAATTTGCATGTATTTCTGTGTCAGGAAGTTTTTTGGAGTTACAGTACTGAACCCAATCAGGTGGGGTCTGAGTCATAGCTGTGAAATTGACCGTTCTCACGAGAGGTGTTGTACCTGGCCCAGGTAACACAGCACTTACACAATCGTCTGAAACCACAGGTCTTTACTGCAAGTAAGAGTCAGCCAAAGTTCACTATATGCTAAGGCCATACCAATTCAATTTCTTGTTTCGAAGGACGTTTTATGTTGTTTCTTTGATTTTTTAATAGAAAATATAAAACGACAGTAAAAAAGCCGAGGAGTCCAATAGATTAGCCTCAAATGTTACAACATTAATGGTCATTAATGGTAACTAACAAGAACTTGAGCCATGAAAATCAACACGCCGGGCTGGTTGATAATTCAGACACTAAAACTTTTAATGAAACCACTGCATTGATAGACTTAAACTGTTGGGGCCAATACATCTGGCTATCTTTTTTTTTTTTCACATTTGTTGGCAAATGAACACACTGCCAATTTGATACAGTCTTGCCAATTTGATCCTGTCTTGCATCCACAAAAAATCTGATTGAGATATTCTTTTAAAGTGCTGTGGCAAGAAATGCAGTATTACACATACTTAAAGGCTTGTCAAGATTCAAACAAAAAACTGCTTCATGATTTCTTCGTGTCAAATAACGATTGCACCAACCTCCCTATAGAAGGTTTCTAAGAAATGCATTGTAATTTGAAAGATGTTGCCTAATTATCGTTAGTACACGTGAGTAGTTGAACTTTTCCAAACAGATAATACGGCGCAGTGCAGAATTTAATGAACTCTTGAGGAGCAATTAGTGCAGCAATTTGGGTCATTAATGGTGGGATAACAAGAACTTAAGTGAAGAGATGCTTCCAACAGGTGCATTGAATATCAACAACTCTGATTGGACATTGCATAATATTTTTGGATCCACTAATTGGGGTTTTTGTTGTCTACATATTTTGGCAATGCCTCAGGGGCAGAGCCAGTTTACACAGTAATGTTTCAACTGTGTTAGAAATACTGTTAAAACTTCAGTGACCAGTGGCTGCATTAGCACAATCACTGAACTACTGCATAGCAGCCAGGCAACAGAGGTGTGGACAGAGCTGCTTGGAGGTCTGGTGTGAAGACTAGTCGACTGCCTGCCCACCCATGTTAGGGACCCCCGCAGCAGTATACTACATGTCCTGCATTTCCACACCAATTTCATTTGATAGTTCACAGGTTTTCTATACAAAAAAAATGAAGAGGTTGCCTAAATGCTACTTTATAGCAGCCGTGAAGTCAACATGACAGGCTGGCTTATAATCCATTTAATTTTAAACCACTGCATTGATATCTGATAGATCAAAAAACTGTAACTAGAGAGACAAGGACTTTCTTTAACTGCTGGTGCCAAAATATGAGTAAAGAACTGTGTGATTCAGGACCTGAACATTTTTTTTTTCAAATTGGAAAAAGATTCAATGGGTTCATCTGAGAACCAACGGATTAAATTGGTGAGGCGTTATCTCTGTTTTTTTACCATGACTACAACTACACAATGACACTAAATGACACTACAGTTAATGACAAGGTATGTAGGATGAAGTCAGAGGATGCAAAAGGTGCTACAGTTATCTTGGAGAGGTTTGTTTTTCACTCTCTCCAAGGAGCTTCTTGTATGCTCTCTCACAACAATTTGAAGTATTCCTTTTGTGAGCTAAGCTGTTAGAACTGACCTAATTACTGAACGCTCATATGAAGTGGGATGCGGGGGAGGAATACAGATGAGAAAAACAACTTGGTCGTTCACCCACATAATGATAGTACATGTACGGAAAATGTTGGCATTTTTTTGCAATGGTTGTTTACCTCGAAACTATGGCACTGCAAAATACGTATTTGGAATGGATTGGATCTTTATTATTCAACATGCAGACATATATCAATCTGAATTTTGTTAGGGTTTACAAAGATAGACATGAAATTTACATACATGATCACAATTATGTGAAAAAAGACGAAAATTTCCTTAATCATAAAAGTATGTTCTCAGGGACATAACGTTTCATCCTTAGAATGCCATTTTTTAGATGAGTGCGTACATGCATATATATACAATAAAGATGTTGTATCATCACGATATTGTGATTGCTCAGTTCAATGGACTAATCACATATTTAGCAGGTGCACTATGTATGGGATTGGAGTGTTTTCTATTGTTCTACAGAAGTGGATGACATTCAACCACAAATTTTGAAAAAAAAAACTTCCTACCAGGCAAATAGATGATTCTACAGTAATAAACCATGTACTGAGCTGGTCGTTTTTATGAACCTATACCCCCCACGCACACACACCTCTAACTTCTTATCACAATTATACAATTATCTAACTAAGCACTACTGAAAAGGAAAAAATCACAGAATTTGTTGTCAACAAAGTGGTAAAGTTAAAAACAATAAATTTCAAGTGAAATACTTCAATTATAAATAAATGATAAATATTGTACAGCGCGACCGATTTGAAAACTCGTATCTGGTACAACATTCGGCCCCTGAACGGATCTATAAACTCTGTACAATGTTGGACTGATGTTTGTGACGGTTGAGTGCGCCGTTCTTGACAAGATAGGCGTGTGCCCGGTTAGTCCTTAGCTCCAGGCAGAACCACAAAGACGCACACGGGCGCGCCGTGATGCAGGGCCGCAGGCAATGACGTACTCGGGTCCTAATTAGCGAGGCGGGGTCCTAATTTACGCCTTATTTTTCGACAGCTTCGTGCATGATTTATTAGTCGATAGATAGATATCTTGTGGATTATACTATTCACTATGTGGTAAATATCCGGAAATTAATGGAATAACAAGTTGAAATGTACTATACTGTATACTGTACGTTTGTGAATGCATCTAAAGCAGCGACACCTGTGCTGTAGTGCATTGTGAACCAGTCAGAATTGCCCTGAGGAAGGTGACAGACGGTCACGGAAACGTCGGCTGAATAAAAGACTTGGTTGTGTAACAAGAATCTCTTTACTCAACAACAAGTTGTCCCTAAATGCCCCCAGTTGCATGGGCCCCGACATTTTGTGGGTGAATTTTATCATTTTTGCTAAACTCTATTTTCTTGGAAAGATACGTATGCTTCTGTCTCCATCCCGAGAGAACGTACTAGTATTAAAAGACCACTTAAAGAAACATAATTAATATAATGAAACACACAGGAGACGCTTAAAGTCTAAAAGTTAGGTGAAAAATCTTGCCCATTTTATTGCCAAACCCTTCAAAAATAATAACTTTATTGCACAACAAGGGTATAACTAAAAGATAAAAGGCTACGTACCTCTATTGTCGGTCAATGTGAAAAATAACCCGAATTCTATTTTACTCACTAATTTATGGACACTAAATATCCTATTGGTGAGAAAAATAGAATTGGGCTTATTTTCCCAGTGATAACCGCATTCACTGCCGCTGACCAATATCAACCAAGTTGTCTGCGGCTGTCGAATACTAACCCTCAGAAAGGCAATAAAATTTTTGCTTTTCAATTTCATACAACACTCCAAATCATCTGTTCCTGCTGTATGGTATATTGAAAATACACAATAGCAAGCGAGAGACGCTCTTTTTTCGCTGATGAAGATTTGTTTCAAAGAAACCGAACGGTCGTCAGAGCCACCTCAGCCTCGGTTAGTTGCTCTGTCAGTATCATGTCGTAAGACGTAAGACGCTGTTGTGTGCTCTGTATGCGTCTACACATGCACACAAACAGTGATACGTCTGCAATAAAAAATAACAAGCACGGCTTCATCTGGTTTCGGTAAAATGTTCTCTTTCTTCTTATTTTTTTTTAATATTTGAAAAACTATATGTAGTAGTTTCTGGAGCTTGGCTTAAGTTCAGGTGAGACCAACTCATGCATAATGAATGAGCATCGAGTACAATACCGGTCGAGCAAGTTTGCTCAACTGTAGTGTATTAGATTTCACTAGAAGACTGTTCACATTTCTGTGTTTTTCGAACTTAATCTGACTTCACTGAACTCGTTTATAGAGATCTTAAAGTACCATCGGGTACACATGAATTGAATTATATTTCACAAATTTGGATTCGCGTTTTAAAAATGTTCTTGATCCGTCTGCCGCAGTCACCCCTATAGACCAATATTTACGTCGACCTGTCGGACGATCCTTTGTGGTATCTGGTTACGGTGATTCGGGTGAATGATTTTGTTTACAGACGACAGTACACCCTACCTGGCGGGACGGGGTGTTTGCTGTTTTTTCTAGCTTTAATTTTGCCTGAAATCAAGCACATTCGACGATTTACTCGGTCGTCTTGTGTATCCATATTTTGCTGATGTTGTCCTGGTGAATTTTAAACCAAATTAGTCAAAGGCTTTTTATAGATTGTTGAATATGGACCGAGGTCAGGGGTCAGTGTGTTGAGTACGGCCGACGTCACAGGTGGATTTGAGTCCCAGGTACCAGGAAGAAGCTTGTTCTACTCATTTCTAATTTTACAGGTGAGTAACAACTCTCCTTCCTCCTTGTGCATTAATCATTTTTATTTCATGTACCAAATGTTACCAATGGTGCAGTAATTGCTTCTCAATGTTTTTCAAATATCCTTGATGATTTTATTTTCATTATCACGTGTGCACTACACCATATACTATCACCATTCTATATTTTTCTGTACTTACAAAAATCGCTATGGTACACATGGCTTGTTTGATAGTATAACTCGAAAAGCCATGTATTTATGTTTTAGTAGAACGAAAACACTGCGTTTTATACACAATATGTCCTTGGTATGACCCGTGATGAGGTCGTTAGCAGCAGAATATTAATGATGAATATATAAATTGGACGCCGTACAATAGACGGTATAATTACATGCATGCAACAGGAGTCACTTTGAGTCGTTACCCAATGTCGCGGGGAGGGGGGTGCATACAAACCTGTCCGACCGGTGTGTTTCTGATATCAGACTATAAAAACGTACAACAGAAATATAAATTCAGATATATATGATTTCTTCATGAGATACAAGTGTACAGTCCAACTTGGTCACTGCCAATGTAGCAAAATTAACGTTGCAAAGAGAAAAAGTGTTCCCAAGTGAATCCAATATAATGGCCACTGAATTTAGGATCTCACAACCCCCCTCCCCCAAATGTACATAATAGACTTCTCAAATTACCAAGGCAGTCTAGCCAGGTATTTTTATGGTGACCCAGCACGTGCTCGCAGCCACCGATATGCCTTATAAAATAATAAATTTCGTCGTTGTGGGCTTCAATCATTTGAGGCAAGCTTCTTTGTACCTGGAAGTCTTACTTCCGTCAATACACTTTACATACACGTGTACCAAAAGAAGAAACTTAATCATCTTGACTTTGTACGCTCACTACACAGTGAGCAGATAAGCATATCCCAAAGGCAAATTTCACGTGTATAAAATACACTGAGTCCCAAAGCTATACGTCTGCAGCGGTTCTAGTGTCTATATTACATTTTTGTGTAGAAACTTTTTAAGATTTCGTTTGAATACATTTCGTTTCTCTAACAACGTAATCCCTCTCCTTCACAGCTTGTTTTGTTCTTGACTGACAATATGCGAGGAGGCGATTTGCTGGACAGTACCACCCCACGGCCCGGATTGCGATGGAAGAGTTGGATCAAGAGTCCCAAAGTTTTGGGGTTTGCGTCTTCCGCATTCTTCCTCGTTTTTGTGAACTACCTTCACTTCGGAGTGGTTCTGAAAACGTGGTCTCCTCAGAAACCCCCCGTGGACCGGGAGAGTTGCACCTGCCCGTGTTGGGATACCATCTTCAAGGGGACGTACCAGATGGGAATCAGCGGCTACAAACACATGTACTTCAACATCACCCCGCAGGCGCTAAAGATGTGGACCCTGACTGTAGTCACCATCCTGATGGTACACGAATGTATCTGTTACATCATCCGCATCTTTCTGAACAGTAAAATCAGGACGTCCATGCTCCTGCTGCTAGTCTCTGTCGTCCACTCACACTACTACTCGTGGTGGGTTCTGTGGGGGTACTACAACGACGATTTCTACGCGCAGTGGCCGCATCAGATGTTCTTCACCCTTACGGAGCTGATGTCGACAGTTCTGGTGCTGTGGCAGCTGGATGAAGCAACCCCCTTGTCCCCGCGACTGACGCTCGTCATCGCTGACATCGCCCTCTTGCACATCCTGGCCGGGGGAATCGACCAGTTCGTCCTCAACGTGATCTTCGGGCTAGGGGAGCGTCATCAAGTGCTCAGAGACCTCGCCTTTATGTCGTCTGATATCATATATCTGATAGTGGCGTGCATAGAGTTAGCGCGCTTATCTTGCGGCAACGGAATGACTTTATCGCTTCTGTGGAAATCACTAAAGTGGGATCTGCTGTACTCCGGTCTTGTTATATCGGCCCTGCTCGTGTTTTTATCGCTCCTCTGACGTATGCTGCACTTGTATCTTGTGATATGCTATCTTAGTGACTTCCGTAGAGTTAATACCAGCTGAGCTGTAAAGGAAGACATGTCAGAGGCGTTATGCCGACTGTAGCACGTTGTACAAGTATTTTTTAATTTCAATTTCTGAAGAATTTTACTGTCACGTGACAGAAAAGGCACTAGGCTCTCTTTTCACAATTATGGTCAGCTGGACCAGGCCCATCGTCTACCGGGAAGGAGGCCGATGAAGAATTTTATTATACAGTATATAGGGGTTGTAGAGATGTATGTACATAAACCGCTCATGCATATTCAGCACTGTAAAGGCGTAACATTGTTCACAGTTGGAGCTGCATATCTCACCATGTTGTAACAATATACATATGTATGTCACAATTACTTTACGTTTGAGACTGTATTGTTAGCAGTAACATCAGTGCACAGTCAACCAGTAACATTTAAGCTTAATTCAGCTCACAGTGAACCAGTCTCAATTGCCCTTTGGAAGATGACAGGTGGTCATCGAACTGCGAGCGAAACTTCGGGTCTTGTTAAACAAGTGGTTGTGAATAAAGAACACTGCTATCATTTGCCAAAGTCATACTGAATCAGGTTTAAACTGTTATTCCCAAGACAAGACATTGGACTTACACAAATTTACTACTGTACCGTGAACTCAAGTCTTTGTCAAGGATTGTGAGATCGGTGATGTCACGCGTGTACCATTCGCAATACTATACTCCCGTGTACCTATTTATTTTTAAAGAGAGTTAGAGTTAGATGAATTATAGTATATAGTAGCTGTTTGTTTTGTTTTTCTTCTTATACAATTCCCTATGTACTACTAGTAACTAGTATCATCCAATATGTTATATCATCCAGTGCATTTAGCCCGGAAGGGCATGAATATGCAATAAACATCATTGTCATTGTCATTTAAATTCTGTAACTAAGCGTGTGATATGTAACCTCTGTTTATTGATTCATCATAAAAATCTCAAGTACATGGCAGCGCCGGCAATTAAGGGCGCTGATTTGTATACTTGCGTTAAAATTATACAACACACAATTACCATCACAATTACATACAAGTGAGTTTTTAAAAGACAAGTGTACAGCCAGTGTTAACTCTACATACTATAGATAATACAGTAGTAACGATATAGAGTCACCATCATGTGCAATATGCCCTTGTGATAGTTTTAATGATTTGTAAATTATCCGCAATTCAGTGGCTTTCTCACTGCGAAAGTTCAACAAACGCACGGTGACTCACCGCCGGGAATGAATGCGTTAAGTTTTCCCGGGTCGGAGATCGCTATCCATGCGTCCTGCGGTCTGGTAGATCTCCCCGCGCCCGAGGCTCCGTGACCAACACCCGACATGTCTCCGCTCAGGTGTGTCGTCTGTCTGTTGTGTTCTCCCAGCCAGGTGAGACGCGTGTCCGGAAGGCAGGATCCCGGTAAACAATGGCTGCACAACCTCGGGTGATGGGGAAAGGGGTGACTGCCTGCATGAGTGACTGCTGTGTATTGTCTAGATAACGAGATAATGAAGATTTTTCCCAGTTTCCTTCGGTTAGAAAGAGACGAGTATCTAAGCCATAGACTAGACTCTACCAGGCTTCAGAAGGGACTGGAAAGAGTAGAAACTGGCCAAGTAGACAGATACATGCCAGGCGAGTTGGTCCGCTAAAGGAGTATTTGCCGCCTCCCGAATTTTAGCGGACCAACTCCCATGGCATGTTATATGTCCATTTGGCCAATTTCTACTTTTATCCAGACGTTTCCGAAGCTAGCATGCATTAGACATAAGTTGCATAGTTGTGGATAAAAAGTTAACAGAGAGATTAGACCATTATCAATCTGATCGTGCTTTCTTTTAGCGGCAGTGAAATTATCGAAGGGTTCACATTAACTTGTGTACTGTTGATTTAGAATGAATGAATGAACGAACGAATGATGATTCTCTCATTGATTTACAAACTACATTCTACTACAAAATGGTGTTCATCTTCTATGTAAATTAGAGTATATGGAGATGGGCAAATCCATTGTTCCGGGGATACCAGCACTCTCATCTTTCACTGCAACCTGTTATGTTGCGTGCGAAGTATGTCTAACTCTCACCAGCTGAGATGAAAGGTTATCTCTGCATCTTTTGTTCTCTGCAATTTCTTCTGCTCCATTTCCTCCACAAATGTAATCAGCTGTCACATTATGGTGACGCGCCTAACGATTTGGAGATAGATTGTTGTGGCGAGAACCATTTCAGAATGATAATTTCACGTCATCAAAAATGCATGATCTCTTGTTGTCGATTGTTGTGTATGTCTGTGGTTTTCTGTGCCATTGTTAGCAGGCGAGTCTGTTACTAGTGCTTAATTAGCCTTGTAGGTGTTCTTTTTTGGGTCACCATTGTGGGGATGTTACATGATTCTAATCTAGTGCAGTAGATAATCGTCTTGGACAAAGACTTTTATGCTAGGCTAGAGGAGAAATACCAGCTCTTTTATAATTTTCTGAAGCAGCTGCGGACATTTGTCTTTACATCTCTGGTAGTTTGGGGCTCTTTTAGGCTCCTTTAGGTCTTCCTACTACCTTTGCTACTCCCTGTGTTATGGTAAAATGAAAACTGTGTTTTAGGATTGAATTCAAAGGTAAGAGAGGTCATAAACATGCTTTCTAACATTTTTGACTACATACATAGTGTTATAATCAAAATGCTTGTGCTTCATGTCTTACTGCAATAAAATAAGTGTTCTCAACCATTATCTATCCTCCCTGCTGATATCTGATATAACGGTACAAGTTCGTCCAATTGTCACAGACAGTGTTCCTTTATTTATGGGGAATGTAACATTTTGAAGTAATGTTGTTTACCACTAATGGCGACCTAGTGTACAACCCCTTCATCTTTTTTTCAAGCTTCGAAGACAAGGATTCTCTTCAACTGTGGCGGCCCAAATTTGAGCATCTTGGAGTTGATTCAGAACCTGAATTTTTTTTTTTTTTTTTTTTGCAAATCACAAAAAAGGAAGCAGGCTAATTCAAGAACCAATTGCTGAAATTGGTGTGGCCTTTAATAATTTCATAATTCTGGGGGTGGGGGTTTGGTAGGGGCCGTTGTTGAAAATGATCGACTCAACTTATGAGAACAACATAAGAATGAAGGCACAGAACTACCAATACCAAGGTCATATATCAATGTCAAGGTCATGATGACACAGCCTTCAACCCAAGCAGCATAACTGATGTCATGGCCAATGCCATTGAATGATCCAGCTGCTCAATGTCATGCCTGTGGGAATTGTATTACAAGGCTAACATATGTATTTGTGGCATTAGATGTTGATGGATGAAACTTCAAAATGGTTCTCTTTTTAATGTATAAAGTCTTTGTTCTCTTTCTGGGGGAGTTTTGTTCATGTGTTTGAGGTACTTTCATGACTTTAATTTCTGTCATCAGATTGATGATAGAATATTCTTTTTACTTTTATTAGAAAGTTGAGATTGTGAGCTTTCCAGAAATATATATGTGTGTACTAGTATACATTTGTTACAATAAAGAAAACTACTTAATATCATCTGTTGCAATATTTGTGGTTGAAGATCTCGAAACCACTATACAGTTGGACTGGCCTTAATCAGTTTGGGTAGCAGAAAGCTATAAAATATGTATGGAGTTTTGTCCAAAAGCATGATAAATGTGTTAAACAGACAAGCAGGTCGGTCTGAGTCCTGATGTTTCAGATAGCACAGGCCTGAGAGATGTCATCATTTGTTTGTTGGCCCTGTGAAACCTAATAGTACAGGTCAAAACTGACCAGGAAGATGACCCAAGGGACCACTATCATCTGGACTATGTGGACAGGTGGTCACTATAGACAGGACTATTTATGCTGGTCGATGGGAAAATAATTATCATAATTTAAGGCCATATCAATTTTATCAGCTGGTTTCCAGGTTCCTCCCATTCATTTTTGTCTGATTTGCCAAGAAAAAATCAGGTTCTGAACCAACTCCAAAGTCCTTGTCTTTGTTGTAACAGTTTTCCAAGTTGTCAATGTAGTTGTTTGACAAAAAGTTAAAAATCTATTATATTGATTATAAGTCAGCCTGGTATGTTGACTTCTTGGCTCCTATTGTAATTTGTTTCCCTGTTGCTTCATTTTTTTTTTCTAAAAAAATCCGAGAACCAATAAACTGAATTGGCCTGGCTTAAGGAACCAGGAAAAAGTGGTCACAATGGACAGGTGGTCCTTATGTAGAGGTCACTTGTACCTGTTTGACGGTACATGGATATACAATGGATGCTTTGACAATTGTCTGAAGCAAGTGTGAGGAAATAACAAGGGACAGAAAGGATTAATCCCTAAATTAAAGGGGATCAAGTATTAGATGTTACAGTAGCATTCATCAGATACTAGGATATCTTACTAATCTCTCATCATAGAATGTGATATGCTGCGGTGGAAATCAAAGAAAAAGCCGCGTGCACTTTTGCCCTGAGCATAACATCAGAAGCTATATCCATTTCACTTTTAATCCCTTCTATGCAGGGTTTTGCCCAGAGCACACCAGTACAAAGAAAACAAGAGTTCCACGATCTCATACCTTCGCCAAATGATGTTAACCCTTGTGGTTGACAAATTATACAGTTTTAATCATTGATTTTGTAAATAAGAGCCCCATTTGCATGGATTATATCAGTTGATCATATTCTCCACCCAATGACAGCTATTATAGCACTTCCTCATAAATTATGCAAATGAGGCCATGATTTGAATAAATTATGTTTGTTGATGTTCACCTTCACTTAACTTCCAAATGTGGCATGTATGAAATTCCCAGCAGTAACAACTATGAAATTATAAAAATTTGCCATTTATTATGCAAATTAGGTCCTCATTTACATAATCTATATCCTCAGATGTTTTTTCTCGTTCTCACAAGTGATGTCACAAGTGTTTCATAGTTCTATTATCGAACAAAGCAGATTTATAGAATTTCCTCATTAATTATGCAAATTAGCTCCTGATTTGCATAATTGTCATCTGATCATGTCAAGCATCACTTCAACTACCTACATACCAAAAATCACGACAATCCGTCAACCGGTTCTTGAATTATCCTCCTTCGACAAATTTTCACAAATGCTCCTGCAGTTCCAGAACAAGCCGCTAGGGGACCCAAACTCATGTCACTTCTTCCCTATCCCAAGAGCTATCTGCCATCCAAAATTCGTGACCCTAGCATGTCTAGATCACGAGATATCAAAACCGGAATTTCTGCTGCAGTACCTAGGAAAGCCGCCAGGGGGCCCAAAATCTAATCATTTCTAGGTCTCATGAAGACCTACCAACCTACCAAGTTTCATTCCAATCCATCCACTACTTCTCGAGTTATCTTGCTAAACCACACACACACAAACACACCCACACACAGACAAACGCTACTGAAAACATAACCTTCTTGGCGAAGGTAATTAGAACCAGGTTTTGCAACATACAGTTTAGAAACCCCATACTTCTATATAGTCACTTTAGATATTACAGTGAGAGTTAGTAACTGTATTTTGTGATGTTTGCTTTTCAATTATTGAAGAGGTGGTGTGGAATTTCTGTAGACTTACTATTTTAAGATAACTTTTAGGTAGAGGAACTATGGATTAAAGCTAGCATGACTGTTGACATGCTGGGAATAGCCTTCCATTTTATGCCCTTGTAAGTTGTAACTGACCCATTTCAGCAAATAAAGCTAAAAGGAAACGGAAGTATGCAATGACTGGCTGTCAAACAGGCAGTTTGTTTTAAAGGATGCTCAACTTTGCCCTAGTTCTACCTATGGTAAATTCTGGGATATCACACTTCAAACCTTCAACCATACATTTGAATTTTCT